CCATTACTCCACCATGCTTCTCTGACATTGCATTAGTGGTAATAATAAAGAATAACACCAAGAATAGGTTCAGTATCCTGAACAACTCTTAAAATGATAACTCTTCACGAAATTATAGAAGATAACTTCTATACACCAGAAGAAGGCTGTTGAATGGTGCAGCCGAAATGTTGTGTTAAAAATAAAAGCAACACCAAGTTCAGTAGTCAGAACAATTCTTGAAATGATGATGACTCTTCACAAAAATTATGGATGATAATTTCCTTATGGATTGACAAAATAGAAAAGTAGAAGAGAAAGACAAAAAAAAGGCAATAACAGAAAGGAAATAAAAGAAAGAGAAGAGAAAGGAAGAAGAAAGACAAAGGGGGAAGTGAGAAGGGGAAGAAAGACAAGGGGGGAAGTGAGAAGAAGAAGAAAGACCAAGGGGGAAAGTGAGAAGGGGAAGAAAGGCAAAGGGGGAAAGTGAGAAGAAGAAGAAAGGCAAAGGGGGGGAAAGTGAGAAGGGGAAGAAAGGCAAAGGGGGAAAGTGAGAAGGGGAAGAAAGACAAAAGGGGAAAGTGAGAAGAAGAAGAAAGGCAAAGGGGGGGAAAGTGAGAAGGGGAAGAAAGACAAAGGGGGAAAGTGAGAAGAGAAAGAAAGATAAAGAAGGAAAGTGAGAAGAGGAAGAAAGATAAAGGGGGAAAGTGAGAAGAGGAAGAAAGATAAAGGGGGGAAGTGAGAAGATGAAGAAAGACAAAGGGGGGAAGTGAGAAGAGGAAGAAAGACAAAGTGGGGCAATGAGAAGTGGAAGAAAAAAATGTGTAGAAGGAAAGAAAGAGAAAAAATGGAAGAGAAAGAAACTAGCAGAAAGGAAGGAGGTCGTCCATACTTACGATCATAGCGACACTGTAAACTGTATGATACTTTTCTTTGCTGCATAGTATGTACTTTGTCCAGGCTACATATGGTTGCTCTATTTAATCTTTCTCCTAGACTGACTGCCAACTAAGGCTGAAGAGCCCAGTCTATTCTACTATTTAACTGATAGCTAAGTAGGAAGTGGTAGATTTGTAGCCTCCCCAAAGGTATTTGCACATAAATGGATCTAATGAACTGAACTGAAATTTGAACTTGTCTCTCCAATTTCTCATTCTGATCCACTATTCGTTACACCACCTGCACATCGAAAAGAAAGAAAGATAACAAAAAGAGAAAAAGAAGCATGAGAGAAGGACAAAGAGATCCAGAGGTGAAGAAGATAAATAAACAGATGAAGAATCCCCAGAAAGGAAAAAGAGAAAGAAGGAGAGAGTTAAATAAGAGGAAGATAAAAAAACAGTAGGAAGGAGAAGAATGATAACAAAGAAGGAAGAGAAAGAAAGAAAAAAACAAAGAGGAACCTGCTGCAAGGAAAGGAAAGAAACTATGTATTTGAAGAAAGATGACAAGAAAAGGAAATGAAAAAAGAAAGAAAGAAAAACAAAGAGGAAAATGAGAAGAAAAAGCAAATGAAAGTAGAAAGATGAATGAGGATAATGAAAAAATAAAAAGGAAGATAAAAGAGAAAGGAGAAAAATGAAAAAGGAAGAAATGGAGAAAGGAGGAAGAGAAGAGAAATGAAGAAAAGAGAAAGAAAAAGAAATGGAAAAAAAAGGAAAGGAAGAAAAAAGACTAAAGAAATCAAAGGAAGAAAAAAGAAAAGGAAAAAGAGAAAAGAAAATAGAAAGGGAGAAGAGAAATGAAGAAAACGACAAAGAAAAAGAAATTTGTTAAAAAAAGGAAAAGAAGAAAAAAGAAAAGAGAAAGACAAAGGAAGAAAAAAGAAAAGGAAAAAGAGAAAAGAAAAATAGAAAGGAAAAAGAAAATGGAATAAAAAGAAAAGGAAAAAGGAAGAAAAAGAAGAAAAATAGAAAAGAAGGAAAATGAAAAGAGAAAGACAAAGGAAGAAAAAAGAAAAGGAAAAAGAGAAAACAAAAATAGAAAGGAAAAAGGAAAAACAAAATGGAATAAAAAAGAAAAGGAAAAAAGAAGAAAAAGAAGAAAAATAGAAAAGAAGGAAAATTAAAAAGGAAGAAAAGATGAGACAGGATGAAAGAAAGAAAGAAAAAAATGAACTAAACAGAAAAAAGAAAAAGAGAAAAGAAGAGAATGAAAGTAAAAAGAGGAGAGAGGAGGATAAAAAGGAAAATAGGTGTAGAAAGAATATCTGAAAAAAGGAGAAGAAGGAAAACAGGGAAAAAGATTGGGAAAACAAAGATAAATGTTTAAAAAGAATACAGAGAATAAGAATGAAAATGAAAGAAAAACCAGGAGAAAAATGAGAAAAGGAAATGAAAGACAAAAGAAAGATGGTTGTGACAGAAAAAGAAAGGAAGAAGAAAAAATAAAAGAAAAAAAGAAAGAGGAAAAGAAAGTAGAAAAAGACAATAAGAAAGAAAGAGGATGTAAAAAAAAACAAAGTTCAAGACAAAGCAGGAAATGAAATAATGAGTGTAGAGAATGGAATAGAATGAAAGAAAGATGTATAAAGATGGGTTCTGTATAATCTAATGTCAATATTGTACATGTTAATCTGATTATGTTTGTGTATAAAACCTTCTTAATTCGTTTTACATTCAGGAAAAAAGTATAAAAATGCTATTATTTTCTTCTACTTGAACATACGCTCTCATCAATTATTCAAAAGAGATCAACATACTGCAATCTTAGCTATCTAACAAAATATCAAAATTGCCACAAGAAAATCAAGCAAGAAAACGACCAATATCTGGAACCAATTTATCTGTTGGTATTCACCATGATTTTCAGCAACTATCAAAGAGTGACCACTATCCAAGAACTGCTACCAGATATGATAATGAATTCCCATCCTATCTTCAATATGGCCTACAATCACTTGACCTGGCTGAACCCTAAAGAGACCCTATAACCCCAAACCTGTCAACAGACTTCCTCTTTAACCCAATTCTGTTTTTGTTCCTTTCCTTTTCTTAATGGCCAGAATCTGCAAGCCAGCACGACATTGTCAGGAAAATCATTCCCAGTACATCTGCTGGCAATAAAAGATAGTGTAAAATATTGCCAAATACCAATTCCCAAAACATTCTTACCAACCAGACTCCACCTACATGGCATGAACATTCCAAAGGGTCATTCCATGGTTAGAATATATAAAATAATACGATCATTCCTCTCAAGAAATTAGGATTCCTACAAATAATCTTATAAATACTTGAATTCAAACCATCCATTGTCAACCATTATTATTAATTTTTCACTAGTACTTACTTTCATCTTCATTTTTTAATAAGTGAAGCATTGTCAACAATTATTATTAATTTTTTACTAATATTTACTTTCATCTTCATTTTTTATTAGATGAAGCATTGTCAGCCATTATTATTAATTTTTGACTAGTATTTACTTTCATCCTCATTTTTTATTAGATGAAGCATTATCAGCCATTTCTTTCATCATTTTTTATTAGATGAAGCATTGTCAGCCATTATTATTAATTTTTGACTAGTATTTACTTTCATCTTCATTTTTTATTAGATGAAACATTGTCAGCCATTATTATTAATTTTTCACAAGTATTTTTTCATCTTCATTTTTTATTAGATGAAGCATTGTCAGCCATTATAATTAATTTTTGACATTTCTTCATCTTCATTTTTTATTAGATGTATTTACTTTCATCTTCATTTTTATTAGATGAAGTATTTTTCATTACGCACATGTTCAGTCCACAGTATTCTCAGAATTCATCAGTAGATTCAAATTTCTCTTTCATCTGGCATATTGGAAATTAGATACAAAAAAAAAGCACTGCTGTTTATTCTTTGTTTCTACAGGCATTTTCCGATATCTTTATACTTTGCCTGGTTTCTGAAAGGCATCTTTTCACTGTTACACTTTTCATCATTACAATATCTAGTTAAATTTCTGAATCTGTTTGATTTTGACATCTCCAACTCACAATTTAGGCTGTATTCTCATAAATAAATAGCAATTAATATTTTTCTTGTAAATTCTCAAGAACAAAAAAATGTATAAATACACTTTCATCACATGTCTAGGTTTTATTACAATTCTAATTATCAATTTTTAAAACAATAAACATTTCTGAGGAGTGAAGGTAGTTAAAAATAATAGTGGTGTCAAGGGAAAAAATGTTCTTTTGATGCATTGTTTTTTTTCAGCACAATGGTTCAACATTGCGAACCATTACATATGAAATATTTAATAGTCTGCATATGGTAATATTACAGATGGGCAAACATGACACAAGCTAACTCATTTAGTTACTCAATCTTTCCATGTGTCCCATGAGTGTTAAAGTCTCCAAGCCCTCTTTCCTCATTATGACAAACCTTATATTTCAACATTCTAACATGTTTCCCTATTCACTCTGTGTGATTATTTTAATTGTATTTTTTTCAAGAAAGATTTATGTTTATGTTTTTAAAGTTACCTTTTAAGTTGAAGGGATCCACAAAGAATGTGACATTACTCATCACAACCACCCCACCAAGATTTGCACACAAACATGTCAATGAAGACAGAAATCAATAAATCAATTTGATTGATTATTGGAGTTATTCTCATTAATGGAATTGAAGTAATGATGATAAATTGGAAATTTTGGTCTTCATCAATGAAAAAAGTATTTTCTTTTTTTTTACAAATAATTGGTGTTACTGGTTAGAGAGTGAAAAATCATTTAGAAAGAAAGAGAGAGAAAAATGGGGGTTAGCATCAGGAATTATTAGTGGGGGAAAAGGACAAGTGATGGAGAAAGAGCATTAAACAGAGTGGATGGGTAACAGATAAGATATTGAAAAAACTAAAAGAAGCATGAAGAGAGAGCAAGAGAGAGGCAAAGGAGGAAAGCTGATGGTGAATGAAAAAAATCAGAAAAAAGAAAGAAGGTATGAGAAAGAGAATATATCAGGGGTTTAGAAGAGCAAGAAAGGGAGAAAGTGGTAGAAAAAGACAATGAAAGAAAGAAGAGAAGGTTATAAGTATAGATAAGAGATGTGAAGAAAAATTGTCATTGTTAAGAAAGAAAGAAAGAAAGAAAGAAAGAAAAAAGAAAGAAAGAAAAAAAGAAAGAAAGAAAGAAATTGAGATGTACAGAAGAAAGAAAGCAAGAAGCAAAGTAAAGAAGTAAGAAAAAAAAAAGAAAGGAAGGAATTGGGAAAAAAATCAAGAAAAAAATAAAGGGGAAGGAAGAATTTGGGAAGAATAAAATGCAGATAGAAGGGAAAAAGAAAAGAAAGAAAGAAAGAAAGAAAGAAAGAAAGAAAATGGGAAGGAAAGAAAAAACAAAGAAATAAAGAAGGAAAAAAGGAAATGTAAAAGGAAAGAGACCATGAACAATGTAGGCGAAGAAAAATAAAAGAAAGGAAAAAAGAAGATAAGGACTTGGTAAAAATCAAGTGCAAATAGAAGGAAAGAAATCAAGAAAGAAAAAAAAACAAGCAAGGGTTTAAAGAAAGAAAGAAAGAAAGAAAGAAAGACTAAAAGAGAGTGTAAAAGGAAACACAAAAGAAAAACATTTCTCAAAGGAGAGAAAGGTAAATATGAGCAGAAAATTTGGGATGAAGAGAAATTAAAATTGAAGAAAGAAAGAAAGAAAGAAAGTGAAACAGTGGAAAAATAAGGAGAGAGAAAAGGGGAGAAAGAGAGAAAGAAATAGAAGATGAAATAATTAGAAACAAATTGTGGCAGAGAAGAAGAGAAAAAGAGAAAAGAATGGAAAAATAGAAAGAGAAATAAACAGATGTAGAGAGTGAGAGAGAAAGAAGAAAAAATGTGAAAAGGAGAAAGAGGAAGAAACGTGGAGAGAGGAGGACAAAATTGAAGAGATAAAGAGAAAGAAGAAAAGCTGAGAAAGAGAAAGAAGAAACATGGAGAAACAGAAGGAGAAGATAAAGAAACAAGAGTAAAAGAAGAATAACTAGAATGAAGGAGTGAGAAAGAGGAAGAAAAAAGAAAAGAAAGAGAAATTGGGAGCATGAAGTGGAAAGAGAGGGAAAGTAGAGAGAGGAGAGGTAGAAACCTGGAAAGAGAAAAAGAAAAGAGGGTGAAACATGAAAAAAAAAGAAACATGGTGAGAGAGATAAAAATGAAACAAGAAGGAAAAGAGAAGAGAAAGAACAAGGAGAGAGAGGATAAAAAAGACAGAATTAGAGAGAAATGGTTTTCAGAAGCAAAGAAAGAAAGAAAGAAAGAAGGAAAGAAAGAAATAGAAAGATGAAGAAATAAATAGAGAGAATGAAAGAAGGAGTGTGAGAAAAAAGACACACTAAGAGACAATATGAGGAAGAAACATGAAGACACAGAGAGAGAAGTGACAAAAAGAAAAACAAAGAAGATGAAAAGGAGAGCAAGAGAGAAATAATGCAAAAAGAAGGAAGAAGAGAGAGAAGGGAAAGAAAAGAAAGAAATAAAGAAACTTTGAATTGAGAATGAGGAAAAGGGAGGGAGAGAAAAAGCAGAAGAATCAAGTGGAGATAGTGAGGGGAAGAAACACATTGACAGAAATAGGAAGAAAGTAATAAAGCAAGAAAGAGGAGGTGAAAGATGTTTTTTTTTAATAAAATGAAACTAGCTCAAAGAGTAAGAGTTAAGGAAATTGTGAAAGTGAAAGTGAAAGTATTGAAAAAATAAATAAAACAAAAAATGACATGTCACCAAAAATGCCAAGAGAAAGGAATAATAGAAAATTTTAGAAGTTACAAAATCAAACCAGAAAAACTAAAACTAAAAAATACTTTAAAAGCCAAGTATTATTTCGGAAATAAAGTCCTTTTACTTTTTTGTTCAGGTGTATAATCCAGTTTTACTTAATCAATTACAAATTCAATCAAGTTAATAGTTTCCTTCACTTTCAGTGAAATAATTCTATAAAGCAGGTAAGTTATTTATGCTTTGGGCATAAAACTTTCAGTTTTAAAGCAAAAAACATTTCTCTGACTTCTTTTTTAAAACCTCTTTATAATTAGCGTAATGTTTCCTATCTAGGAAATGCTGTCAGCACCTGAAAAGGTGTTAATCCAATGGAGGAATGTCAACAGAGAAGAGTGGACGAAGAAAAAATATCCATATCAAAAACCAAAATCTTTTCCCACATGCATACTACAAGTCAGCTTGTGTTGACATACATGATTACCACACCTTACCTGACTTGTCAGTGAAGTTTCCTTTTCAAGAAAGGCTGGTTTCCTTCTCCTCCTCCTCTTCATCATCATCATCATCATCATTAGTAGTAGTAGTAGTAGTAGTAGCAGTCGTCGTATTACTGGGTATGGTTTTAGGATTGCTGTGTAACTGAGCTCCTGACAAACCCCCTCCCAATATCTCAAGTAGAAGCTTCATCTACCACAAGGAAAGTTGGTTCTCTGTGTCACGCCAGAAGATTTTTCTCACCTGAGTCCATCCTTCAAATCTAAAAATCAAACATTTGTCCTTGCATTGAATACTGTTGCCATATATGGTCTGGTGCCCTGCTCTCCATCTCAAGGTCCTCAACAAAACCCAGAGATGAATATGCAATGTGATAGGTCCTGATCTGGCAACACGGTTTCAGTCACTTTCTGACATACGTGCTCCGTATTTTCATAGCAACTGCTCTGAAGAGCGACTTTCACTGGTTCCCAAACTGCATGAATTTAAGCATGCTACTAGGTTGGCATCTCGGTCACACCCTTTCACTGTCAAGATGTCTAAATGTAGCCATTTCTTCTACACCAACAGCTTCTTATCTCACACTTCAGTGCAACTCCCTTTGTATCACTTGCTTCCCTGATAACTATAATCTTCAAGTATTCAAATGGAATGTCAATCAACATTTTCTGATACCTTGATCTTGATCCCTGTTCTTCTCTTTATCCTTTTCCCAAAAACTCCTCTTTATTCTTACTCTCACTCTCTGTAACCCCATTTATGCTAGTGGCTCTCCTGCCTTACTTGGCGTGATTTCCTTTTAAAAAAAAAATGCGAATGTCTGAGCTTGTGAATGATATTTTAGTGCACAGTGATGTTGTCAGCTCATTTTTTCCCTGAATGTCTATTCTTGCTTAAAGTGGTACCTTGTAGGATCGTAGTTGAATGATTATCGACTATTATAACCATAGGTCTTTCACGGGGCCTGTTTCTTGAGTGATCGTGTCTTGTATGGTGTAATCTGTGATGCAGTCTTTATAAAAAATGACTAAGGTGGTTCTGAAGCATCTAATTTCTAAATTAGTGAGTCAGTTATGTGCCATGCTTGATACATGCTTAGGCAATAATGTATCTTTCAATACATGACTGACAAGGCAGATTTTTTCCACAGTAAATTGCCATTTCTTTCTGTGGTAGACCATTTGCCATCCAAGGCTATAGAACACATTCTGTCCTGCTATTTACCCATAGCTGGGGGGAGAAGAGGAGGATTAATACCTTTTCCAAGGGTATTAGCACATGAGTGACTCAGTTATAGGCCATGCATGATACATGCATAGGCGATCATGTATCTTTCAATACATGACTGATAAGGCAGATTTTTTCCCACAGTACATTGCCATTTCTTTCTGTGGTAGACCAGTTGCCATCCATGGCTATAGAACCCGGTCTGTCCTGCTATTTACCCATAGCTGGGGCGGAAGAAGAAGAGGATTCATACCTTTCCCAAGGGTATTAGCATGTAAGTGAATATAATGGATTTGACTGGAATTTGAACTCAGCTCTCCAATTCCTCAATTCGAGCCACTATCCATTACTCCATATCTGGACTGGCAAAAAATTAATGCTGTCCAATCCTCATTTATCAGCCTTGACAGATCCTATGTACATGAAATTGTCTTTAAATTAAGTGACGGCAGAATTATTGTTGAACTTTTAAAAGGTAAGCTTAAATATTAATCAGTCAGTCAGTTATGTGCCATGTGTCATACATGCTTAGGCAATCATGTATCTTTCAATACATTACTGATGAGGCAGATTTTTTCCTACAGTATGTTGCCATTTCTTTCTGTGGTAGACCAATTGCCATCCAGGGCTATAGAACCCGATCTATCCTACTATTTAGCTGGGTGAGAAGAGGAGGATTCATACCTTTCCCAAGGGTATTAGCACGTATGTAAATGTAATTCATGTGACTGGACTTTGAACTCGGATCTTCGATTCCTGAATCCAAGCTGCTATCTATCACTCCACCTTGCCTCTAAATGAGTACTAAAGTATTAAACCAGTCTTTCTCATTAACATTAGAAAGAATGGTTAAGTACTTCTAATTAATGACACTATCATTATAACTGTACAACACTTTATCATAGAAAATACTGTTTCATAACAGTCACAGGTTGATTGGGTGCAATGTATTGTTTTTCATGTAAGAATTGAGGTGTGTCCCTGGGATGGATACACAAGGAGTTTACTGTGTCCTTTTAGATTTTTATATGCCATGAACACAGGATCTAGCAGCAGATCTCTAACATTTATTATTATTATTATATATTAGGGAGTGTGAAATATATTTTCATTTTTTACAGGCATTTCTACCAAAGCTTATTTCATATCTCTATCTATAAGATAGGGTGTGTGTGTGTGTGTGTGTGTGTAACAAATGCATGGCTGCAATTTTCAACGAATTTGCACCAAAATTTACATACACATGCTCCAAGTTAGCAGAAAGGCCAAGACTGACTTTGCATTTCCCAACTCCCATTGATAGTGGAAATAATCAATTTTTTCATGCTTCTATGGCAGTTTTCATGTAGTTTGCGGCCATTTTCTACTGGCCAGAGTGAGAGCCTACAGCTGGCTGCCACGAATAGGCAGGAAGATTCTATTGGCCAGCATGAGAGCCAACAGCTGACTGACACGAAAGTTAAGTAGCATGCTAACATGAAAAAAAATCGATAACTGCATTCGTCACAAGTGGGAAAAATTTAAATCTGCATGGTACTTTACTCCAATTGGCTCATTCGCTTGCTTAAACTCAAGGTTGATTCTGATTCCGCAGAACTGAGTTGGGTGTAAAAAAGTTAACATTCTTTTTTCACTCGGTTTTTCCAGTTATGAGTCCTTTTTTAAAGCTGATCGTTTTGTGTTCATTTTGTTTAATTCTTTTTTCATAACAGATTTAATGTTTAGTATAGAGCTTAGAAAAAATTCACAGTGTGAGATAGGTAAGAAGTAAGGCATGTAGCAACATCAGCACAGCAAAGGGCACTCCTTTAAAGGCAAGGAAGGGCAAAAATATTTTAAGTCAAGCGATAGCGATTGCTGTATGAGTCGTATGATTTTTGAATCAAGCATGGGCAACGCCAGGCCATGCTGCTAGTACACATCTAAAGATGAGCTATGACTACAGTATATTACTATTATTACAAGTGTACCTGTGCCACAAAAATGACAACAACTGTTGGAAAGTTTGAATAGTGTGATGCAATGAAATAAAAGTCTTGAAACAATGTATTGAGATTCAATATAAAGTGGAGATAAATAATTATCAACTAAAAGAGATGCCAATGAGCCATTAAATTAATCTGTTCACTTTATATTTTTTTAGACGTTCAGTAGAATCTGTTTCATTGATTACTCCTGGTATAATATAAATTGGTTTTTGGCTCAATATTAATGTTAAAAAATTTTCTGTATGTTTTTGTTTTAAATATTTATGCTTTTTATGTTTTATGTGTTTGTGTGAAATGAAAATATCTCTCAGAAGAAAAAGTGTAACAATCGAACAACAAAGACAGTGACAACAAAATCTGTTTCAGGATCAAATTGAGGCAAAACAATCACTTAATAGACAAAGGTATCTGAGTGCTTCACATGAAAGGCTTGAACAAATAAGACTGCAATCTAAGAAATGTAGGAATAAATCTATTAATTAAAAGGTTCATTTTTCTTGGGAACTAATTTTTCTAAATGCAGATATATTTTAATTGTAGAATGACTAAGGGAAGTAATCACTCATGAATTTATTAACTTAAGTTGATTTGATTGAATAATCACTCATGAATTTATTAATTTAAGTTGAGTGCCCGGAGCAGTGCTTTGGGACACTTGCTATCTATCTACATTCATATATGTTACAAATTAAACTGAGTACAAATGACTGTTATTGAAGGATGAAAATCTTTTACTGATTTTAATGTCATTCTGGGATCTTTTCTCATCCAAATCCATGAACTTGTTTTGCTCATGCTAAGTCTAAAAAAAAAAAACACTGTGTAAAATTCACTATCTTTCTTCTATAATTCTGAATATTTTAGAATTATTCAACATTTTAGTAAGTTGTTGTTAAAAATTGCCACAAAATAGTGTTGATTTATTCAAGATGGAATAATCTATTATGACATCTCTAAATTGTATTTGAATACATTATATTTATTTTCAATTTCTCTAGTTGAATTGTTCACCTATATTGCATATGATCCATTATTGTAGATAAATAGGTTATAATAAAAATTTGTATTTTATATGAATACTACCATATGAAAATTGAAATGTAATAGAGTTGGGGTCGGCATATCATGTATTCA